GGAAAATTTTCTCCTTCTTAAGAAACACAAACTAGGGATAAGTAGGAAAAAATGAATGGATGAATGGATGAATGGATGAAGGGATGGATGATGCATACATACATCAATCAATCAATCGACTGACTGGCCTAGTGAAAAATTTTGAAAACTGTCAAGTGAAACAGAAACCTCACTGATGTCAGTGTTTAGAAGAACAATAAGTAATTAGTAAACAGATGTGTCAAAGACAGAACCATATGCAATAAGAAATAAATCAATAAAAATTGCAACATCTCCTATGTCAGCCCTAACAATATATTATTCATTCAATAAACAAAATGAATAAACATTTAAGTTGAAATGTAAAGATTTATTGAACTAAAAGCTCTTATAATTGATTTCATTGTTAATAGATGTTATATTAGAAATATGCCATGACATCATGTCAATTTTAAGTTAAAAAAATAATTGGAGGATTTTAACCGTAAAATAGTCCACAGAAATCAAATTCCAGATATAGGCTGATGATTTAAATCTTTAGTCACTGTCCTTAAAAATCTTAATTTTTAAAATGAAGCACTAATAAAAAAATGATGCAACTAAATAAATATAAATATAAATATAAATATAAATATAAATATAAATATAAATATAAATATAAATATAAATATAAATATAAATATAAATAAAAACCGCCCCCAGCCACTGCCTGGAGGCAGACAGCCTGCCCACCTTCTGGCTTCCATAAACTTCCATCTCCTTTGTTCTGCCTCCAGTGAATTCTTTCACCTCCGGTGCCACCAGCTTCCACCGATCGTCACCTCACATTTGGGGGGCCCCCATCCCATCAAGAGACACCCAATTCAGGTACCACATTCCTGACCCTTCTTCTCTGGTCCCTGCTGCCCCAGACAGGGATAACCTCCCTGGATAACCTCCTGCCTGTGCTCATCTCTGAGACTTGACCCATCTTCCCAGGTCGGCCCTATCTCCCCCACAACCTTGCTCTGCACCCCGCAATCAGTAACCTCTGTTGGCTGCAATAACTAGTCCTTCCTGACTTTGGCCCAGAGGATACCTGCAGGCGGGCTCTTTAAGCCTTTGATAGAAAGGTACCTCAGGGTAATTGGCATAAGCAAAGAACACAAAAGTAAATTATTCCTAGAAATGACAAATATTTACATCATAACTTCAGGCAATATTGAATCTTACTATCTCTTTGCATGGACTTGGACAAAACGGCCTGCCTTTTGCATTCTGACCTTCTGGTATTGATCCAACATAGAGATGGAAGGAGGATTTCTGAGTTTTTAACTCCAGATCTGTTAATTCAAAGAGTTGTGCGACCATGCAACAGTTACCGTGCATCTCTGAGCCTAGGCTTCCTCACCTGGAAAATCAAATTAAGGATAATACTTCATATAGGGTTGTTGTGAGGTTGTTGTGAGGACTAAACGAAATAATATATGTTAAGGGTATTGGGCATAGCACTCAGCACAGAGTGAGTGTTCAACCAACGTTAGGGGAGAATAACCTGGCTATATGTTAAAGCTATTTTCTAGCTCTTTAAAAAAATCTGAAAGCACTCACATTAGATTTTTTATTGCTTGTATTTTTATTCTGGAAGGTTCAAGTGGAAAATAGACAAACTATTCAATTATATAAAGAACCAATTTTTACATCCGGTTAGTCCATCCCCAATTCCTCTAGGGCTACCTACTCAGGCTTCTCCCTTTTGTTATTTTTTCCCTCCTGCCACTTGCATTTTTTAACCGGATTTTCTTTTACTATAAAGACAATGTATCTGTTTTAAAACTTTTAAGGTAGAAAGAGGTATAAAATGAAAAATGAACTTTTCTCTTCCATCACTGACTTCCTATTCTTTTTTTTCCCCTGAGATAATCACTATCTATCAAATTCTACGAATCTTCAAGCTTCTGAATATATATTCCATACAAATAAGGTCATACTACAATACCCCCTGCACCTTGCCTTTTCATTTAACACAATAGTATGTCATATAACAAAAGATACAGATCCACCATGGCATTTTTAGTCCTTTGCTTAAATGTGACATGCTTTATTTGAGTTCCCTGATTGATGGATATTTATTTGTGATTCTTGTTTATATAAATAGCAGTGTTTTCTATGCTTTTGTACACAACATGTCTTGACACCCTTTGGCAAGAATATGAGTAAGACAAATTTCTAGAAATGCCTACTATTAGGCCAAAGGGTCGATGCATTTTTAATTTGAATAGATATTGCTGCCAAACTGTTCCCCTATGGGGTAGAACCAGATTGCACTCTGATCTCTCAGTGGAGCATGACACTATCCTCTCCTGTAACCTTTCACCAAATGTATTATCCACGTTTTGAACTGCATTAATCTGATAGATGAAAAATTATTATCTCTTTGTTGTTTGAACTTTCTTCTTTTTAATTAGGAGTGAAATTGAGCATTTTTCACCTACTCATTGGACATTTGTATTTTTATAAACTACTTGTCGAAACATTTGCCCATTTTCCTGTTTTTTTTTATGACTCTAAGTTCTTAGTAAATAACCCACTGTTTGTTGTATGTGGTGCAGCATTATAATTTATAGTGAAAATATTGCTGTCACTAATTATACATTCACATTCATATTTATATATCACACAAAATTATTCCATTTATGCAACCTAAAGTAGAAAATTGAGACTGATTTTATAGTTATAGGAAATGTCTACTCTAGCATTTTATTTTATTTTTTAATTTTTTTAAAGATTTTATTTATTTATTCATGAGAGACAGAGAGAGAGAGAAGCAGAGACACAGGCAGAGGAAGAAGCAGGTTCCATGCAGGGAGCCCGATGTGGGACTCGATCCTGGGTCTCCAGGATCACGCCCTGGGCTGAAGGCAGCGCTAAACCGCTGAGTCCCCCGGGATGCCCTACTCTAGCATTTTATTATTGTGTGTCATTAAACAAATTAAGTGATACCAACTGATGAACCATTATGTACTATATCCATTCATCCAAGTGTCCCACAGATATATTTATTAGTAATATTTCAGTCTATGTACCACTTTACAAAAATTTACTGTACTAAGGATCAGACCATATGTGCCTTGCCTGGAGAACTGAGTTTTAGAGCTTACTTCTCTTAATATGCCATTTATAATTACTCCAGGGTAGGTATTTAGAGTCATCAAGATATTTGATGAGATGATTCTAGAAGAAAACTGTGATAACCAGAAAGAGTTGACAGGAGAAGAATGAAGCAAGAGGATCACATACTGTTTTGTGAACCATAGTGGGTGATAAAGGCTAACACTAGAAAAAAAAATCACTATTGTCTGACTCCAAAAAATTCCCATTTCCAGTGAGTCATGCCCCAATTAAACTATGAGTGTCTTAGGAATAGAAAATGTATTTTCACATTCTTTTTAAAAAATTCATATTGTGAAAAAAATTTTTAAAAATTTATATTGTGGTAAGATGAAACCTACCTTCTTAACAAAATTTTAAGTGTATAATATATTTTCATGGACTCTGAGTACTAAGTCATATGGCAAAGCTTTAGAGCTTATTCATTCATCTTGTTTAACCAAAACTTTGTACTCATTAATTAGTAATTCCCTATTTCCTCTCTCTTCAGTCCCTGGCAATCACCAAGCCACCCTTTGATTCTGAGTTTGACTATTTTAGACACCTCACACGGGGGGAATCATGTAGTGCTCATCTTTCCGTGACTGGCGGATATATTAGCATAATATCCTCCAGTTCATTCATGGTTGTCACATACGGCAGAGTTTCCTTATTTTTTAAGGTTGGACAGTATCCCATCACATGTAGGTGCCACACTGTCTTTATTCATCTGTTGACAGACATTTAGCATATTTCCACACGTTGGTTTTTGTGAATAGTGCAACAGTGAACACAGCCTTGCTGATATCTCTTCCAGATCATGATTTCAATTATTTTGGACAAATATCCAGGAATGGGATTGCTAGATTATGTGGTATTTCTATTTTTAGTTTTTTGAGTATCCTGTATATTGTTTTCCACAGTGGCTGCACCATTTTGTGCTTCTACTCAGAGTGTACAAGGGTTCCCTTTTAGCCGCATTCTCACCAACAATTGCTGTTATTTATTTATTTATTTATTTATTTATTTATTTATTTATTTTTATTTTTTGATAATAGCCACCCTGACAGGTGCAAATTAGCCATTTGATCTCTTCTTTAGAGAAATGTCTATTCAAATTTTTAGGCTATTTTTTCAAATCAGGCAGTTTGTTTTTTGTTTTGTTTTTTGTTTTTACTAATGAGTCTTAGGGGTTTTTGACATACTTTGGAGATAACCTCTTATCAGATATGTGGTTTGCAAATGTTTTCTCCCATTCCATAGGTTGCCTTTTCATTTTGTTAATTGTTTCCTTTGCTATGCAGAAGATTTTTAGTTTGAGATAGTTCCACTGTTTCATTTTTGGTTTTGTTGCCAACTAAGTTTCTTTATATGCCCCCATAATTAACAATTTCCATTAATATTGGCAGACTAAATATGAGCGTAACAAATTTGTAATTTTTACATAGTGGTTATTAACACTATACAGTAGTTTTAAGTATAAATCAATAATGTCATTATAAATACACTTATTCCCCATTTCTAACTATGCCTGCTAGGTCATTTCTTCACATTCATATCCCTATTATCTCATATTTTATTTAATCCATCAATTCCTAAGAGTTTTTCTTCAACTATTTCTAATCGTATAAACTGATTTAGTATTTATTATATTAATTATCTTTTACAGAAGTATATTTTGGGGAATAAATATAGACATAGGAAGCAATACAGACCAAAACATGGTTAAAGTGAAGGTCAACATTATCCAACAAAAACCCCATGTTCCCATGTCTATGGAACAGTTTTAGGTGCTTTAATCGTGATGAAATGGTCCCTGTTGACCTAATGCTATTAATAAAGTTAACAGATTTGCCTTAAAATTGGTTAAAGTGGTTTTGGAGGTTATCTGCTCACAAAAGTGCAGACAGTTGTGATTCTTCTACTCTTAAGTTTCTCATGTTCCACATATGCTTTGATTTGTGATAAGAACGTGACTTAGAAGACTGTGCAGATCCAGGACTCTGAGAGTGGGGAGATGCCCTCCGCATGAGGTTCCTGGATATGACCCTCTGAAGATTCTTCATGGAAGACCCTGCAGCCCTGGTGATCACCCAGGGATGATCCAGGGCCTGCCCGGCTGACATGCGATGACTAGCCTCCAAAATAAGTAGTTTGTCTATAAAGTCCTTCGCCAAGTGGGAAATATTTGGCCAAGGCTAGGAAGGAAAAATAAATAAAATAGAATAAAATAAATATATAAAGTAAAAATGCACAAACACACATAGAGAATCATCTTCTTAATTACATAGATCAATGCATATCAAATCCAAAAGACTTTTTTAAAAAGTAAGTTAAATACTGTATCATTAAATATACAGGGAATCGGAAAATCTACTTTTGAGAGCCAAAAAAAGGAAAAAAAATACCCACTCTATTTGGCAAAAGGAAAAAACAAACACAAATTGTCTTCCAAACTCTCTGTTCTCGAGAATTCCTTTCCAGAAATCTGTCCAGCGTGCTTCAATTAGCAGTGTGAATTCCCACATCACATTGACGTGGGCTGGACAAGGCAAAGCAGCTGTGGTCCAGACAGTACAGCAGAATCGGGTTTGTATTTACCTCTCTGGTCATCTCAGAGAGTTCCCAGGACTCTGAGAACGAGCTAGACTGGGAAGTGGAATGGATGGAGAAATTGTCAACTTTTTCTCTCCCTTTAAAAACTTATTCCAGACTTAGGACGCCTCCATCTCCACGGCCACCAGAGAAAAAGGGTAAAACATAAAGGGCACTTGAGTGAAGAACCTTCCTGCAGTGCATTTCCTCAACACACACTCCGAGCCCTCATTACTCCCAATCAGTTAGCTACAATACAATACAATTGGGATTGGTCATGTGGCAGAGAGGCTGCAGGGTGCCATGTGTACAACCAGCTACTTGATGTTTCAGGGATTCGTTCTGGCAATATTTACAGAGTTTGCACATACTTTACAACAGCAGCAATTCATAGTGACTTTTGTGAGGATGGAGACAAGAGAGCTGTTGTTTTACACTTGTTTTCTGCACTATCTATCAACACGTACCATAGACCTAGGGGGAAAAAAGAAACTGTAGTTTTGTATCCGTTGTCATCTACCAAGGAGAAACATTGGGAAAATTGCCAGTATAGTCACTATATCTCGAACAATAATTTCTGGTTGACAGGAGTTTTTTAAAAATTGCATCTCCCAAGAAGGATAAGGAAATCCTTACAACCTATTGTCTTTGCCCTCATGTAAGAAAAAATCAGACTCAATTCAGATGTCACACTCTCGATCTCTTAACACTCTATTGGCCTGGAATTTGAATCAAAAGAAACCAGTAAAGCAATTGCTCCTTTTTTTTTTCCTTCAGCTTATTTAGGTAAATGAGATATGAGAAATATTTATCTCCAAAATAAAAGGCATGAAATAAATGGACACATTTGCCAAATACTCAAACACAGGGAAAATAAAATGTAAACACTACATGTCTAGACAAAGTACGTCAGTGGCTGACACTCACAATGGCATATCCTCTGCTTTGGCTAGACATCTATTTGGCTCTGGATCCAGACACATTTATCTAGGCTCAAGGTTAAATTAGATGTCCCTAATGGAACATTATAAGACAAGCAACTGAATATTTCTGGAAAATATAAAATATGTGTAGTGAGATTTATGAAGAGCTCATTAAGATGACCCCAAATGAATATATACTTAAAATGCAGTTGCAAAAAATAAGGCAACATTGAAAAGAAAAGTTCTTTAGCCAAAGTGCATTTTTCAAAGATGAGTTATAAATTACAGGATTCCTGAGCCATAAAGAACAGCTAGAGAGCACCTGAGAGTCAATTACATATTACACAGTAGAAAATGACAGGTACAGAAAAAAATGTCAGAACTATCTATTTTTAGCTTCTTGATCTAAAATTTATTTTTGTCTATGTTGTATAAAGTATAAAATAAATTAACATACATATCTACTTTATAAATGAATAAAAATTGAGTGTGCATGCTCATAATTTTTTGACTAATAGTGCTATATGACGAGAAATGATTTAGAGGGGCGCCTGGCTGGCTCAGTCAGTAGAGTATGTGACTCTTGATCTTGGGGTTGTGAAGTTGAACCCCACACTGAGCATAAAGATTACTTTTTTAAAAAATGATTTGGAGACCAAACATTGAATTAAATTCATATCTTGGACTCTCACTTGATGACATCATTCAGTCCCTTTACCAGCCTGGACATTCACCTTGCCATTTCCACTTTTTGCCTAGAAAATTCCTTTGTTTTGCTTTGCTCAGGAATTTCAAAGAGACATTGCCATCAATCAGCCTATCAACCATTAGTCAGCCTGTCGACCCATCTTAATGCGGAAAAAGTCTAGGATGAGGCAAGTGGATCTGGACTACAGCCCTATACAGCTCTAACATAGGGTCTCAGCCTCCTCACCAAAAAAAAAAAAAAAATGGAGACCATATCTCTCTCACAAGATTGCTATTACAACCAAATTAGATCAACTTTGTGAAAAATGGTTTTCAAAATATAAAATATCATGTAAGTCTTTGTTCCTCTTGTTCTTGTTACTATTAAATCATAATATAGTTCTTTCTTCAGTTCTTTTGTGGACACATCCACCTACTATATTCAGAGAACTGGAAGAAGAAAACTATCCAAAACTTCTCATACTGATTCTACTTACTGTTATCATGATAAATGTGTGTCCTCAAAAACAAGTTCTGTGTTAAGAGGTAATGAACCAAGTGGAAAGAAAGGTAGCAAGATATCCAGATGGCTAACAGGCACATGAAAAGATGCTCAACATCACTCATCATCAGGAGAATACAAATCAAAACTACAAAGAGATATCTGTGAGAATGGCTAAAATGAAGAACACAGGAAACAACAGATATTGTTGAGGATGTGAACCCTCTTACACTGTTGGGGAGAACACAAACTGGCATAGCCACTCTAGGAAACAGTATTGGGGTTCCCCAGAAAGTTAAAAACAGAACTACCCTACAACCTGGCAGGCTCACTACTAGGTATTTGCCCAAAGGATACAAAATTACTGATCCAAAGGGATATATGCATCCCAATGTTTATAGCAGCATTATCAACAATAGCCAAATTATGGCAAGAAGCAAAGTGTCCATTGACTGATGAATGGACAAAGAATATTACTCAGTCATGGAAAAGAATGTATCTTGCCATTTGCAACAACATGGATGGAGCCAGAGTGTATTGTGCTAAGTGAAATAAGTCAGTTATAGAACCACAATTACCATATGATTCCACTCTTACGTGGAATTTAAGAAACAAAACAGATGAATGTCAGGGGGGGAAGGGACAAATAATAAGAGACTCTTAACTACAGAGAAGCAACTGAGGATTATGGGGGGGTGGGGAATGGGTTAAATAAGTGATGGGAATTAAGGAGGGCACTTGACAGGATGAGCACTGAGTGTAATATGTAAATGATGAATCATTAATTCTATTCCTGAAACTAATATTATACTATATTTTAACTAACTGGAATTTAAATCAAAATTTGAAACGAAAGAAAGAAAGAAAGAAAGAAAGAAAGAAAGAAAGAAAGAAAGAAAGAAAGAAAGAAGAAAGAAAGAAAGAAAGAAAGAAAGGTAGCACTTTCTTTTATTCTGAAGTCATTCAATTAATTTAGTGACAAGCAAACTGTAATATTTATGAACAATTCAGTCCTTCTTTATTCCCTTTGCTCTTTCTTCCTTTCCTCATCTGGTTCTTTGCCTATTTGTCTATCCTCTCCAATAGAAATTGATTAAACTGTATAAAACAACAATAACAAAAAAGAAGGTACAAACTAAAATTTAATACTAGCAGTTGCACTACTTATTCACTTTGGAAGAATAAAGGGAACTTAGAGGGTTGGTATTTTATATTCTATTGGTCTTGATTCTTTCACCTTTAAGCAAAGAAGTAAGGAATGATGTTAGTTTTTTGCTTTCTAATTTCCTGATGGATAATTTCTCCTAATATAGTTCGATTGCAGAAATGATTGTAGAGAATCAGTAGTAAGTCATTATTAAGAAGCTAGATACTATAACACACACACCCACACATGCACACACATACACAGCTCCTAAAATTCTAGATGCAACATCTCATAATTTAAGTATTGTAATTAACATTAAAATTTGCTAAATACAGAGCTTAATGAAGTACAGGGTAATAATTATTGATGGATTTAATTATAGTTTTCAGAAAAATACAAATATCTGTTTTTAAATAGACGGATAAGCTACCATTCAAATCCCTGGACTAAGAGCACTCAAAGTAGAATTTATCTCCTTAAAAATAGTAGCACTTAGTGGTGCCTGGCTAGCTCTGTCAGAAAAGCATATGCCTCTTGCTCTTGGCATTGTGAGTTCGAGCCCCCCATTGGGTATAGAGATCACTAAAATAAATAAATAAATAAATAAATACATACATACATACTTTTTAAAAATTTGTTTTATAGAATATTTATTCAAAACTTCTACTGAGGGCACCTGGGTAGTTCGGTCAGTTAAGCATCCAATTCTTGGTTTCAGCTCAGGTCATGATCTCAGGGTCCTGGGATCAAGCCCTGTGTCAGGCTTTGCACTCAGCACATAGTCTGCTGGAGATTATCACCTTCTCCCTCTCCCTCTGCTCCTCCCCCAATCACCCTCTTTCTCTAAAATAAATAAATCAAATCCTTAAGGAAAAAAAACACTTCTACTGATGACAATTCTCTAACTAGCATTTTCCTTCCTTAAACTTCAGTGACCAACCTTGGTAGGATTTCACTTAAGCTTTGCAATTAAATTTTATGTAAATGTGCCCAAAAGTACCAATTAACTCTCCATGATTTTATTAGTCGTAGACCAGAAAAAAATCACTCTTCCTCATGTCAGAAAGCAGGAGATTCTATCATCTTTATATTATAAATACTTAAAATTTAAAATGTTTTCTCCCCAATCTAAAAGCAGACTTTAAATTGTTTTATCTTTGCCAAAGTTAAAACTGTTCAAAGACAGAGCTAATTGCGTCAGAATGCTTTATCTATGGTGGCATTTGTAAACCCTGGAAAAAGTCAGGAGATATATGCAAGTTATTACAAGTAACATCTAATTAAAAATGGAAAAAGAATCAATCCTATACCAGGCTCACAAAAAGAATATTTTTGTGAGTTAAG